GAACTGTTATGTACTCGTCGCTGAATTATTGTTATGGACTGGTCGAGAAATTAATAGTCCTGACGCGAGAAGGCGGAAATCAGAAGACCACTAGGTTTGCGATGATACTTCTATTGTCCAAAACCAAGGAGACGAAAATAAATGGTCTCACACCAAAGTGGTAAGCAAGTCAAGTAGTTGTAAAGTAAAGTAGTTCACACAAATTGTGAATGCGAATAAATATAAATAATTCAGACAAGCGTGGGAAAATCATTAGACAGTCTTAACATGAATGGCTAATTATAATGGAGTGTCGATCCAATTATACATAGCGAATATGGCAGACATGCCAACAAACATATATGGATATATGTCACCAAGCAACGGACTGTCAACAAACACTCATATTATATATAATATAAGGAGAATACACATTAATAAAGGAGACAAGTTCACACAAGTGAAGTGGTCACTGACTAACCGAGCAAACAGAAAGAGAGACCAACATACACACACACACATAAATATATATATGTGGATACATATCAGGAACCCAACCCAACTCGTCGTCCCCCGATTTGGTCTCAGTCGAAAGTCTGACATGTGATGTTACTCAACGGTCTCCTCAATGCATATCCAACCTATCTCTATTTCCTTCTGCATATTTGTCGGGCAACAAGTTCTTAACCAGTTCGCTGCCTGACAGAATCCCTTGTTGTTAATCATTCCTGGCTATCTGATCTTCAGTACAGAACGAGAGTCTACAGTAGCCTTTTGGACTAAGCGCGAGCTAAGTTTCTGTATAGTACAGAAGAAATCATTTGGAATCAGTGTCATTCGTTGTGGTCAGTGCTGTTGATCTCCACAAGGATTTCATCGTAATGAAGGTCTGTCTTGCTTTCAGTCATGTAATTTTCGCTGGCCTTGACATCCTTATCCATACCAACTGTATTATTCCTGGTTTCCTAATTCTAAATGATGACCCCTGTGGTCGTCAAGTAGGATATTCAGAAAGTAATAATGTATGCAAGTTACACTATAATAACTGAATAGAATATAGGAAACCAGAAGACATTGTATTCACCTCCAGTAATTAAATGGTGAGTTACTTGTATCGAAACCCTGCTGTCCTGTCTGAGATTCTGAGCTAGGTTATAACTCAGCCGAGCGAAACAGATCGTCCATGTACCAGGTTAAGAGCCACGCCTACTGTGGTAGCGCCGACAATAGCTATTCAGTCGCTCAGCCAAGGAGAATCAATCGATGAGGTTGTGAAGTTACACCGATTGAGATGGTTAGGAAACGTGTTACGCACGCATGTCTAGCCATCGCCTACCTCGACAACGAGCAATGTTAGCCGATATAGGATATATAAGGTTGGAAAGGAGTTAGTTAGTAGTGGTCAAACCAAAATATGGCTTTATCAGTCAATGAAATCCATAACAGTTAGTTTAAGCCAGCCACGTAGGGAGGTGTAGACTTCGTAGTTGGGATCCTCAGGACGGTGAAAACCAATGGCTGGAGACAACTGGTGATATGGCACAAAATCGCTCTCGATGGCTGGTGCAGATGTATCCACTCTTTGTGATTTATAACATCCAATAAAATTCTATTGTTCTTCCATATTACTATTCCTTTTGCCTCATATTTCTGTTTATTATCTCTCTTTTGAACCTCCCTTTATTTTCTTCTCTTGTTTTGTATGCCAAATGGAGTTTGGTAACTCGAACTGTTGCAAATCAGTGCAAAGTTCTACGTTGAAACCAGTCAGTCAGTCAGCCAGATTGAAGCAGGTGGAGCAGAACTTGAACCCGTGACCCCCTATCGAAGAGCCCAGTGTTTAAGCCAGTGAGTCACGTCACCCCCGGATTAGGACGAAATAGTTGTAAAACACTTCATTGTTGTCAATAGGTATTCACGGTATCAATAAAGGTTACTAATAAACAAAAATATACAAAGACATGCAGATTAAGAAAAAATAAAACAAAATTTACCTCAATAGCATTTATCACATTTTTCCATTCATCCTCAACTCCAAATTGACTTCTATACGCACCGGAGACAAGATGATCAGAGGCTTTATGACGACCATAAACTTTAACCATAGCATCAGTTATCTCACCGATTGTACAACGTGCTCTAGCCGCTTCAATACATAAAGCTAGAAGATTTTGCTTACGATCATCACTAGAGCAGGCATTACTAATTTCTTGTAAACATAAATCAACCTAATAATGAACAGATATATGAAAGAGAGGAGAAAAGATACGTATGATATTTATGAAATAAACGGCTAGACGGATATTAAACATCTCTAAACAGACAGATGTTTCAAGTATGCTATTATTTACTTGACTGATATGCTTGAATGACAAAATTTGATCTGTACCAAACAAAGGACTAAACGCATAACATTAGTCAATATCGCGTGACCGATAGCAGTATCCCTTACAGTAGTAACGTGTCTGACTGCAGCACTGATTGGCCCGGGTTTGAGTCTTAGAAGAGACACGAGTTCCTTCAAGACGCCAGACACACCTTGCTGATGATGAGTGCTAAAAAACACGAAACCTAGGTCCAAGGATTCTTTCCGATTGCTTCCAACCACCTAACAACAACAATGCAGAGTGTGCCATGGTGGTTAGCTGCCTAGCACTGTGACCACACTGTAAGCCCAACTAAAAAAAATCAGTCGACATCAGATGAAGGACTGGATGCATGACAGTAGTTATTACTTAGTGTCAAATCAAAGTGTGGCATACAATCACCAACTGCAATAAAAGAACAGTGCTTACTATTCAGATAGAATTGATGTAAACACTGCTCCTTATAAGAACGGTAACTAGCTAACTACTCATATCGATCGACCAATCAGTCAACCAGTAGTATATAGCATCATGCATTGATGCTCTTCTTCTTGATTACTATTCGCGGTATCGAGCAGATTATATATTGAGTAACTTCAATTTTCAAATGAAACTGAGGTGGTCAAGTTCTACCTCAAACAGTGCAAAGTGAAAGTTGTAGATTAATTTGCAAGTTATGAATTCACTGCAATGAAAACGCCTTTTATGAAAAGAAGGATAAAGCTAGTTCACATTTTATTCCACAGGGGTTATAGTCAGCTGTATACAACAGACAACTTGAATTTCCAAAAATATACATTTACAATCCTTATGGCATAATTGTTTGATAAAAAAATAAACTCGGTACGCAACCAGTTCACATTCTACTGGAGTAGAAGAAAGTGTCAAAAACGATGAGGAGGTGCAAATTATACATGAAGTTAGAATATAATCAATTATGATCAAAAGGAAAGGAATATGCTAGAATTGTAGTAGAGACTGACTTCTCCATTTGAACGCATAGAAGTTTCATCTCATTTATAATAATAACGCAACTTGCTATTTGCATTAGTCCCCTTTTATATTACCACCTTTGTTATCAAACCGTGTTTAAGAACACATGTCAGCTTCACTGAGAAGAGGAGAGCGTGAATGCCATTAATTCACCTTTATTGTAACATACAGAAGAAAATGACCATACAGCTTCTGAAAGGGACAGGAGTGCGTTTGCTTTGTTCACCCGAATCATTGGAAATACATAACATAAGTCCAGAACTTTCTGTACAAAAATTACTTGTACGATCCCCTTCGCTGTTAGGATCAAAATTTTCTTATATGGTTCATACAACTTTTTTAAATTCTTTACTCCATGTTGTTTTGGTCTTATTTCTCCTTACGTTATCACACACTCTAGCAGTTGATCTATTTTATTTAATTTTTTTTGAAAACGTTTCACTCATCTTACTTTCTTATCATATTGGTATTTGAACATGATAAATTTACATATTCACATTTTCCATTGTACTTAAATCTTCTTATCATCTGTTTGACGCATGTCTGTTGAACTTTGTGTTCAACAGAAATCAGGCGATTGAAAGTGATTCGACTAGAGGAGTTGAGTGTGACCAGTCATATAACACTGATGATAAGCTGATCGGTACCAAACGAGAGGCATGACCATCCAGGGTTTGGATTATTTCGATCTCGTTAGCAAGCACTACTAGGTGATATGAATGCTATATATACAAATACTCATCTCAATTAATCAGTAATATATACATTGTGTTAGACTAATGATACTACCTCAATACGCAGTTTCAAGTATGATGTGGTTTTGTTCTCTGAGCTGGATGGTTAGTTTGCGAAGCTTTCATCACCTTACTGGGTGACATCTTCAGCGCATACTTCAATTTGAAGTCCATCCAGCTCAGAGAACAAAACCATATCAAAATCATCCACCTGAGCTACAAATCTTCTCTATAAGTCTCAAGTATGTTGAGTGCAATTGAATCTGTGGACCTATTGACTGTAATTTGATTGCTTAAGTCAACTGAACCTCATCTCCACCAATATATGGCAGATTTACTACACACAAAAGGTACTAAAAGAATACAAACACACGAAGACAAAGAAAGAGATAGAGAGGCACAGAAAGACAGACATTTAAGCATAACTATAAAGATTCAGAGACTTGACGCGCGTGTCACTAAAAGCAATTTTAACGGGCTACTACTTTAGACTTTCATCAATGGTTATCTTCGCTTGATGACCAGAAAGGATAAGCAACAAGGACCTCTGGTGACGAAGAATCTATCGCCCATAAAAATATGCAAAAGAAATAGAAATACATTGGACATATATTGAAGAAATATTCAAGTGATATAATCACGTGTCAAGCTCTTCAGTGGAACTCGAGCGGGGAACAATGTAGAGGAGATAGAGTGATAAAGAAATGGAAGGTTGTTTACACTCATGGAGTTAGTTAGCTAAAAAGGATGAAAGAGAAGAAAATGAAATGAAGAAGGGCTGTTGAGATCTTATGTTTCACTCGGAACTTGAAGGAGCAATAATAATAAATTATTAAAGTAGACAAAAGAACATAAGTGAAAGTTGATCAAAGAAAAAAGCTGAATAATAATTAGACTTTTGGTAAAGATGACACCATAGGTTAACTGTGGCGTGTAAAAGGCAGACGACAATGTTATTTAGAAGGGGATAAGATTAGAAGACATCTAAACAGCTGGCGTATATTTTTTTCTTGTCAAAGAGATTATGTACACCTCTCAAATACCTGTTTTCATTATTGCATGTATTCATACTACAGAAGAGGGGCAGAAGCTGAATCGCCTAAAAAAGAGAGATTGCTTATAGGATAACACGGTTCGAGTCTAGTTTCATTCAGAAGTAAAATAAATTATCAGCTTCTCTTGGTCACCACCGATGTAATTAGGCATCACACTGATTATAGGACATCGATGATTACATCTTATGAATGTGTGTCATTCATTCAAACCATATCATATGAATTATCACTCTGTTCGAATCATTCTGTCGATTGAAAATGCATTGCTACTGAGGAAAAAACCGATTAATGAAAACTTGAACAATAAATGATAAAATGAAACACAAAGAAAACACGACAGAAAGTGACATGTATACCACCAGCCAATATTTTCTACGTTAAGCCACAATGATTCTAAACATTCGCCTTCAACCTAGCCCCAATATATAATTCAAACTACACGGGAACGACGAGTCTCCTAGCTTGGTGACTGTATATTACAAAGCTGGCTAACAGAATTCAGTCATCACCAACACCAACGACTGAAGGACACTGCTTAAATCACAGCGGTCAATCAATGTAAATACTATATTCATAAAAGAGGTTAGTCTCAGAACTGAATGAAAACGTAGTACATCTCTGATTGCAGCATTAGGCGACATAGTTCAGTCACATACCTTTTTAATTCAACTCACTTTGAAATATAAAAGCATAACTAGGTAGAAAGTGTGGTTATAAAGATGATCATTGGATGAATTTTATGTACTTGACAATTGAGGTGAACTGTAACAGGGAAATCAAGTGACAAAAGAGTGACTGATTAAACACTTTGATCTGGTTAATGGCTAACTATCGTAATTCATTTAATACGATGTCTTGTCAAAAATCTGAAGGGTAGGAGGATTTCATTATGAGCTAACATCAATTAGAGAACCATTGAAAAAACTAGCTGGGAGTACTGGATAGCCGCTTTATCCTAATTTGGGACTCTTGATCAGCACGCACCCACTGAGGTTCAAACCCAGGACCTTCTGGTTACAAGGCGAGCTTGTATACCGTTAAGCCACTGGGACCCGAACCTCAGTGGGTGCATGCTAATGAAGAGTCCCAGACTATTCTGAAAAGACAGCTATCCAGTACTTCCGGGTTTTCCAATGCTTCTCTAACTGATATCAGTTCATGATGAAATCCACCAACCAATTAAACAAAATCCCTACAAAACCAATACTTGAAAAATATGAAGGTCAGTAATTAAACTCAAACCACATGTCTTGTTTCACTTTTAATTAATAATTCATTTGGGTAATTGATTTGCCTTGTAAGATCGAATATTAGACTTTCAAAAGACAAAAATCAATTTTGAGCGAACATTATCTGTTGCCTGGTTTACAATGGCTAGTAGTGAGACGCAAAAAGTGCTTTTCGTCTTATTTTGGGACCCGTCAGCTGGATGTAGTATCTGCATGCTGAGTGAGTGATGGATGATGTTCACATTGAGACTCGAACCCAACAACTCATTATTTTAAACGTCAAAGCCTGATTCATTAAATCATTCAACTGATGACTCGCAGTAGGATGTAGTGGTCCGAACTCGACTCCTAACCCAATCTGCCGGTAGACCTGGGAAAGAAATAAGGTTGGGTATGAGACCAGCAACCTGATGCCATTAAGAACAACGCCATCGCCACTCAAATTTTAAACCTCAGAGTTCTATATTTCATAGGGAATGCAAAGGAAAGGAATTCAGACGTCAAGAACTGCAACGGCAGACACCGAGCATTTCGCTTCAATAAAACTCAATCAACAGGAAAATGGAAATGATAATTTCTAACTTAATGAGCTGAACCTGAAAATAAATGGATGTTGCGTATTAGTACTGAATACTGATTAAAAGATCTGAGAAATTTGTAAGGGGGGAGAAAAAAAATCATTTTGATTCTTTTAGTTAGGAGATTTTGTTGATTCTTGACAGCTACTCATTTATGAAGTCATGCATGAAATGGGATTGACAAATATTCAACTTGGCGGGATATTACTACACACACAACAGATATGAGAATCCATATTTAGTCTATTACTCGACTTATATTTTTTTATTAAAATAATGCCTACTACTAAACATGCGGTTACACATCAATACATTATGAGATGTCACGATTATCTTTGGCCAGCTATAGTTGCTAGGACAACTAGGCAACATTCAATTACATGACAACTGGACATTATCCATAATGTCTGTAGTGAAATGATGATGATGGTGATTACCTGGTTAGCGGGTAGATTTTGTAGCTGAGCTCATGGAGTGCCACTAGTTCGAGTAATGAGACAACCTTCAATCGTCACCCAATTATCTAATATATATATATATATATATATATATATATATATATATATATATATATATATATAATATTATATATATTTTAACAATATAAGATATTACCCCGAAAAGCTGTTGCAAAAAAGAACAGCATATCACTGAAAACTAATAAAAATAAAAAGTTAACCACAGGAAGATAATAACTAGGCTAAAACTTACTTTCGATTGATCTCGTTCAGCTCGAACTTTTTTCAACTTTGCAATTTGTGATTCACGTACTTTGCTGTTATCCACTACAAGAACATCAACACGTTCTTCTTTGTCTAATCGATATTTATTCACACCGACAATGACCTCTAAGTTAAAATTTAAAATAAACACAGACTAACTAATTTATTGAAGAAATCTAAGTCTATTCAATAACTTCATTTTCTAAATTGTATAATGATATTCATATTACATATTCGGTCATGAATTGACATAATTTAGATAACCCGTCGGAAACTACGTAGTACTTACTCAACAACCTTTTCGTCCTATTTCCTCCAATCTCTTCTGAAGTACGCACTCAACGAGGTTCAAACCCAGCACCTTAGTGTTACAAGGCGAGCTCGTAGATTATTCTTGCACTTGGACGCTAACCAATGGCCCATGAATTCCAACCTCAGCCCATTCGCAATATATAGCGCAACCGTCAATCAATGTCATAGATAAGTAACTGTCCCCTATCCTGACTTGGCCGACGCCGCTGGTTACGACTTCTCACTAGGAGTTCAGGGAACGTCCTGCATAGAGCTTGTCGTTAATGAGCATCATATATTATACAAAAAGGCGATTAAGTGTAACCATAATTGCCCGATAAGCAAAAACATATGATAAAAATAACTAAAGTGGTTTTCTTTTTTTTGGGGGGGGGGGTGAGAGGATGTAGGGTTGAAGTGGATGAGTGGTAGAACTACAAAGAGAATTAATACATATGCATCCAACATTGATATATATATATATATATATATATATATATATATATATATATATATATATACATATATATCCCCTTGGATATGAAGTGAAACACAGGGGTTCAGCAGCCTGTCGCCACTTCACTTTGTTTTCTACCGTTATTCTCAGGTAGCTCCACGATTGCCCAAAAAACTTTCATTTTATTATCACTTGATATCCTTCATGTCACCCTTGAGGCTACATGCAATTTGTTGCTTCCCATTCGGCTTCCAAAAGAAGGATTGGTGCATAATGTCACTCAACGGTCTCGTCAGTGTGAGTTCACTTCATCTCCACTTTATTCCGAATATTTATGACACACTGCAGTTTTACGTAATTTCATATTCATTGTTTTTGGATATATATATATATATATAGTGAAACAGTATTCTATACTAGATGGAGTCTGGAATACAATATATTGTTCATAATCGGATCAATTGTAACTACTCAACTTCGAGACTTGATTTATGTAGATCCCATTCTTTTTCTGATTTTTCGTAAGAATAGTGGAATTTTCCAGATGTCCCGGTTTTAGATGTTGAGTCATTCCAGTTACAGATATTCTGATTTGATTCGGTAAATAGAGCCTCAGTTAATAACCTCTCCTATGTTGTGTATAACTGTAAGTAAAGTGCTACAGCTAAGCATTTTCCTAAATTAAAAAAAATCTTATTAAGCTATACTAGTCTAGATATTTCCAAGCCGTTGTGATACGCTAATCTAATTGACCTCAGCCTACTAATATTTTGACCTCACGACTACCGCAAGCTGTTAGATGGACTATATAATTTTATTGAATTAGCTTCACAAGATCCTTCAAGCGACAAATCTATTTATTTTATTTTATTTATTTATTTTTTTTTTGATTACAGCTCGATTCCACACTGTATTTTGGGACAAGTATGGAATTTTCAGCGTGGATATCGGCAGCCCAAATTTTGCAGGCCGACCAGAGATATCAGGTGTGCATCGGCGAGGGCTCGAACCTCGGACCATGTGCATGGTCGGTGAGAGTACTAACCACTGTGCCACCGACGCAGCGAGTCTGTAATTTTGAATGCAACTTCTATTCCCACCTTTTTTAAGAATGCTAAATAAGGTTTCAAAGTTCCCCTCTTTGAATGGCAACACTTGTGACGTTATATATTCCATCACCATGGTATTGTTGTTTTCCTGAATATGTTTGACATTTATGTTGCTTCTAACATTTTTACCCTTATTTTTATAATCTCCTGTATGCTTCCTGATTAATTTATCAAGATAAATACTGAGTGTCGACGCTTCTCCCACAAGTCTTACTTCCTGCCTACTTGCCTTCCAACCAATTAACTGTTTCTTCCTAATTATTTGAATATTTCACTAGCCATTTCTTACTGACATGAGGTGGGATGCATGTCGGTGGTTCAGAGGTAGAATGCTTGCCAACCACGCATGTGGTCCAGGGTTCGATCCCCGGCCGATTCACTCCTAAACCTCACTAACCCGACAGTTAGGTCGGTAAAGAGGGAGGGTTGGGAGTAAGATTAACAACTCCACCCAGTAAAATTTCTTAAAAAAACTTAAGGTTACCAAAACTCCAAAGCTCTAGCATGAAGCCCTATGCTCCATTGGCAACGTAAAGAATAAAATTCTGAAAAAGTGAGGTGGAATGAAGTGGAATCCACACAGTGCTGGAAAATTCACTCATTAAACAATAATGTTTCACTGTGTGATATAAATATGTATATATATCCGATAAACAAATTAACGCAGAAGTTAATTAACATTGAGAGGATGAAAGTGCGTCAAATGCTGGATCAAATGTCTAATTCGCTATTTACAAGTAACATAGTTCTACGTGAAATTTTGCCACAATTTCCCTAGGAAACGGTGACTATTCAGATATGATTGATACCATAAATGTCAAACAACAAGGCAAGAACAAATGCATGATACTACATAGTGCTTATTAGTTGATATCAGTGAATAGTTGGATACCAATCACACCAACCAGTAATGGTTGCTAACCAAATAGAATTGATCTTATCTTCGGACGGCCGTGCTGATCAAGCTCATCAGTGGTATAGTCACTTGGACCAGCTCATAGAACCGAATCAGTTCAGACCACCCAAATTCTGGCTAGCTATTTGGATCATTATTTTATTTATTTATTTAAACACAAATCAGCCAGTAATACGTTGAATCAAATTCGTAACTTGCAATTTACACTGTTCGAGGCGGTGATGCCGTTGATGGCAATCAAGAAGGCAAGCATAGATGCGTGACGCTATATACTATCGATGTCAAGTAATCATTAGTACATAGCATCTTGCAACTACATGGATACTCTTTGTTTGATAAACTAATCATAGTGGTGAATGAATTTTTCACACCAGGATCCATACGATTTCTTTTTGAGTTACCATCTTGGTGTATCATCGACTAAGCTCCAATTTCATGGCGAATTGAAGTTGAAAATTTCTCGCCGACAGGTATTAACTAGAGAATCACTGAAATCGAAGAGGCCTACTAGATAGAATTTTTTGTCTTCATTTGTCCACAGGACGATTCTTAACAGTTTCGGCTTTTGCAGCCATTTTTCTTGAATTAAATGACACGCTTTCTTGAATTTATGATTGCTTAAAATAATATACGGCGTCGTTAGTTCAGTGGTAGAATGCTCACTAGCTGAGACACAAGTGGTCCCGACTGGATTCCCGGTCGCTGATGCACTGTTAAGCCTTGTTTAGCCGGATGTAAGTGCAGTAAACATGGAAGACTAGACATGAGGTTAGCTACGGCATCCCCTAAAAGACACCACCACTAATGAAACTTTGAAGCTATAGTTTGAAGTCCTAAGTTCCACTCGGAACGCCACAGTAAGCAAAAAATATATATAATATAACTAACCTTGACAAGAATCAATAGCAGCTTGTCGTTTAGCTGCACACTCTTCAATACGTAATTTTGGAATACCAGATTCAATGGCTTTCGCCATTCCACCCATATGTTCAATCTAAAGAAAAAAGGTCCATATACATACATGAAAAGGTATGACAAAAATGAAAGATACATAAGAGCACTGAAAGGATGAAAAATCATTCAATTTGAATGAAATTAATGCTGGCTTATACGTACTTCTACTACTACTAATGACAGTAGTAGAAGTAGTAAAAATAATAATAATAGTTTAATACGTAAGTGAACACCAAGAAACATACGAATATATATATGGAAACAACTGATGACATGGCTCAAAATCGTTCTCAATGACTGACGCAGATGCATCCACTCCTTGTGACTTATGATTTCCAATGAAACTGTTTTGTACTTCGTTATTACTCCTCCTTTGTCTCATACCTATGCTTATTGTCTCTATTATGCTTTCCTTGTACTTTCTTCTCTTGCTTCGCGTGCTACACGGAGTGTGGCGACTTGAAGTGCCGCACATTTGTGCAAAGTTCTATGTCGAAAGCAGATATATATATATATAAACCATCTAGACATTGGAACGCCAACATTATATTTGAAAGAACTGCCACTCTTAGTGTACAATTCACTTTCAATGACTGTTTTATGGCTAGTCCCGAGAACGGTCCACTAAACTCGACTATTGATAATTTTCAACAGTACACAGTACGACATTTTCATTATTTGTGATAATAATCAATCAGTTATTACAGGTATTTAACAACTTCCATTTATAGCAAGAAAATTTACTCTTGAAATGAGAAACGACATCGAAATTTTCCCCCTTGATGTGGAACTAACAAAAAAACCTGACGGAGCCTTAAGAAAGTTAGTCCATAGGAAACTTACACGGGAAGGTCAACTGACAGGTTCCTACAGTTGGGTGCTTGATGAATAAAAACGAAACTTAATTAAATCCCTTACCACTCGGATCCGATGTACCTGTAGCCCAGACAGTCTTGAAGAAGAACTAGATCTTCTGAAAGAAACCTTTACCAAAATGGATAGCCACCAAGATTCATCGACAAGAATATCAAACCGAAATTTCAAAGGAATGACACATTACTTGTTCCAAAAAAGGAAACTTTAAATGAACCCGGAGTTCAAGGGAGACTTAACCTGAAATAACCTTAAGAGAAGAATTTCATTATCTTTGAGAACCTTTTTCGCAGCAGTATTGTTCATCAGTCGTCTACTGGTCTTTAGAAGACTGAAGCTGAAGATCTCACATTTGATTGCTTCTATGTATTATATCAGTTCACCTATTCCTGTGTAGCCAGGTATATTGGTCATTCGAAGCGTGAAAAAAACTGTATATAAATGTGATAGTACAGCCAAAGAAAATTAATTCGCCGAAAAGAGCCTCTTCGCTGAACTACCTGTTTCTCATTTTTCACTAACACCAAAAATTGTGTCATCCACAATGATTAAAATAACAGTATTAAAAAGGGGAATGAGAGGGAGGGGGAAGTTCCTTCTATTCTACTCTAACTAAGTACACTCAAAACAGATTCGGTCACGCTTACTACTGAATCATAAGAAGTAGTCTTCTATAGTGATATAAGGATAAAACTCCGACAATGTGGTAGAGTATAACTCCATTATGGATAAAACTTTATTTTGATAAGAGCGCACAGTGCTATGTAGCAATATTTACTGATGACGTTTCGAGCAAAATCTATTACTGCTCATAATCATATCAAGTTACTCACACAACTTTCTTGCTTCATTTATAAAAATTGATCACACATTTGGATGAAATCAATATAAGATAAAGTACATTAGGAAATATAATCAGATGGGAAAAAAGATACTTTTTACCGCAAAATAAATAACTTGTTAGAATGTGAATTGAATACATTTTAACATTATCATCCTTTGATTTGACTGGTAATAATATCTCCCATATCTCTGGTATTTGCATTGGGTCACTTCTCTTGCATGTGTTGGGTGTAGACTCGATGAACCAAGATTCAGTAATCAATCTCTCTCTCCACCTACCTCTATTACTTTATAGGATTTTGACTCTGTCCCACCCTTCGCGTGCTACACGGAGTGTGGCGACTTGGACTTCCGCACATTTGTGCAAAGTTCTATGTTGAAAACAGACAGACAGACAGACTGTCCCACCCTACTGTGTGATTGTGTGTTAATACATGCACTGCTATAGCTCAGTGTTTTTGGAAATTTTTTATGGCATATTATTGATAACTCGGATAAATTACTTATCTTCGTGGGATCAATGATTCTAACCTTAACTAAATTCTGTTCTGAGAATCTGACTACTCCCGATCTACTAGTTTGACCTGTGTAGTTGTTTAATTGGGTCTACCTGGTCTTTTAGCTTACAGAGCCTGTCTCTGAGTGTGTTTGTAGGCTTGAATGCCACCCTAGTTCCTGCTTTATTGAGAATCCTACGTAGGGCCTCAGATATCTCCTCATTATATGGTAAAACTGTAGATGCCATATATTCTTTCTTATTTATGTTGTCATAAACAGTTTCACCATTATTTTATTTTGCTTTTGAACTCTTTTGATATTCTTAATTAATTTTATACGATAGTTAATTGCCACCAATGCTTCTTCTATCTATTTCATTCAATCATTTAGCTTTTTTGTTGTACTACTTAGTGCTATTGCTCGGTTTGTTAGACACTTAACTAAGCCTGACTTTACAGATAACGGACGGACGAGATAAATTAAAATTTAGGCATCTATTAGAATGTGTTGGCTTTTTATAAACGCTACTGTTAAGTTTACCTTCTCCTGTTCGTCTTATATTACAGTATAACATAGCTAATTCTTCTTGTCCATTTTCCGATTCAAATGTGAATTTCATTCCCTTTACTAGTGAGTTTATATGTGTCAAGAAGCTAGAGATATGTTCTGTTTTTAACACTGTGAAAGTGTCATCCACATATCTCCACCTTATTTTTGGAGTAGGATTAAATGTATTAAGAGCACTATTTTCCCAACTGTCCATAAATATGTCTGCTACGATAGGGGATATTGGTGATCCCATAGCCGCACCATTTGTTTGTTTATATATTTGCCCTGGAATTTAAAGACAGTAGATGCGAGTAGATTTCCATAGAATATTGAAACAATGGTTATTATGATAAAAGTAATCAGTGACGTCATCTAGATGCTTTTCAGTCATCACAAAAAATGTAATATATAGACAGTTACCAAGTCGGCCTATGAAGAAAATGTCTAAATTAAACGAAACCTGGTTTGTATCATGTCCTTAGCTTCGTACATGTAACCGAGCACACATATATTTTTAAGCAGATGCAATACAATATTATTTAAGCGTCAGTTTGCAGGGATTTGATTGGTTACAGGATTTCATCATGAACTGACATCTGCAAGAGAACCATTTGAGGTCGGGTGTGAGGAAAAATACTCACCAGTAACAACTCACTAGTGGTGGCGCCATATCATGAATTGACAGAAGTTGGAATTCATGGGCCATTAGATCGGGTCACAGTGATTAAATGGTCTACGAGCTCGCCTTGTAACCAGAAGACCCTGGGTTCGAAACACCATAGTGGGTGCGTACTGCGAAGAGTTCCAAACCAGGACGAAACGGCTGATCACCACTCCCAGGTTTTCCAGTGGTTCTCTAACCGATGTCAGCTCATGATGATAAGTGTATTAATTTCAAATCACTTAGAGAATCATTGAAAATCAAGGTGTAATTGAAAGCTGTTTCATATTATTGTGGGACTTTTCAGGGGTGCGCATCGACAAAGTCAACACACAACGAAACCCCAATCTCCACCTTGCGAGCTAGCCATTTTTTGTAATTCAGACTGGATCCAATGACCTATGAATTATAAGCAACGTCAGTTTGTGATTTAGTGCAACAGTGAGCCAATGTCATCAATGAGCATCCACTTACTTCATACCCGATCAAATTGAAACCCTTGGCCATAACTTTTTATTAGAACTTCAGAAGATTTGTCCCAGAGCCAAACACTAATAATCAGGAGACTAATATCCAGACTTTGGGTTTGTGGGAATTTGAATAATTTCAACACATTAACTGAATGGTATACGTACATGACTGGCAAGCTGAAGGTCCTGATTTTGTTTTCTAGACGTATCACGGGTTTGTACTGAGGAACAATCTCGGACTAGGACGATACATTTGTAAACTTATCATTTGGTTTTCAATGATTGTCTAACTTATATCAGTTCATAACAAAATCAACATTGGAATGGATCAAATCTCCAGGAAGCAAAGATCTGAAGAGGTTGTTGAGCAGCATTTATAAATTGGTTTGTTTATTACATAAGGTAAAACTACATTATTCACTAACTAGCGTTTTCAACAAATTCAATTCTCTCCAGTTACATCAAGATAACTTCTATGCTGTGGAACAGGATTTATTCAAAGCTCACTTATGAGAATGGAAAACAAAATTGATAATGGGACATTGCCTTTCATTGGGACAGTTTCAAATAATTGTAATGACAACAAGTTGTCAACTGTTCAAGGATACTGTACTATCCCCACAAGAGATTAAGGAGGAATTAAACCAACTAAGTTTCAAGATAGAAGTAAGCACCAGTTCAAGTTGCCATATTCCATGTAGAACACTAAGGTAGACTAAACAGCGGAAAGGATTCAAATGCTATAAAACAAGCAGAAATATGAAGGAGAAAGAATAGTAATATGGAAAAAACATAAGGCTTTACTGGATATGGAAGGTCATAAAAAATAAATGCATCTGCACCACTGAGAAAAAAATCGAGTCATTTCGCCAATAGTCCCCAACCATTGGTTCTTAGCATTCTGACCACCCAAACGAGGCAGTTTACACCCCCACACACGTAAATCAAACTAACTGTCAACGATTTCATTTACTGATGGCAGGTTTGGGTTAGACCATCGCATATTCTCTTCAAAACTAATCACTTGTCGGCTTAGAATACCCGTTGAGGAAGAATCTGACTCACCATGCGCAACACGTGTACTAGCCATCTAAACCAACTGACCTTCACAACCTTATGGGTTGACTTGCCTTCATTACCTGCCTAACAATCTACACCTAACCTCAATATTACTCACTCTATTATACTACTTAACACAGGAGATAGAACACAAACTTCTGTGATCAGACAGAACTAACCCACTTCCGAATGCCGTGTTTCACAGCCATGAAGAAGTACACAGTGAGCTAGTGGGCAGTACACACTTGCTCGGATCGGTAACCAGATATCACATCCATATCAAAGATGGCATTAATTGGCAAACACTATACGAGTCTTTGGTACACGTACAGAGATATCATCTACCATTTAGGCTGATTTACGACTGGTCATAATATGCACGTAAACAGAGATCAGCGGGGCCTGTGCTACTAACAAGAATCTTAAATATCGCAGGGTAGAATAGGTTGAAAAGAAGAGGAATGACTGATCCTTGTGAAACAATATAAGCAGCACAAAAGGAAAAGAAAAGAAGTAGAATGAGAATAACTTCTGCAGATTGTTAATTTCAGTGTTGTAAGTCTTTTGTATTTTTCCGTAACTGTACATCAGTTTGACAAATAATTGACTCTGCTGCCAATTGCCTTGGTGTTCTGCGGCTCTACTAGTACAACTCTGACTCAGAGGATGCTGTAATTCTACAATAGGCAAACCCAAAGGTAGCAACAAAAGTTTTAGAAGCCTGGCGTTTAAATAGGCACATAATGTGGACACAATCCACTTGAAATGGAAGGAAAAGCAATCAACTATGTATACTACAAAAAAAGTTAATCCTAGTATTACCCAAGAGAATTCAAGATCGAAAAGTTATACGGGAAAATGTCTTGCGTTCAGTTATTAGAAGACAAAGTTCAAACAATAGTAACACATTCACGCCATCTCCAAAAATACCTTAATTCTTAGTGAAATCAGAACTGAATTTCTCAGTTGGTCTGGGGAATGAAACACTCACTGTCACACAGAGATTATCAATTCGCACTGGTCTAGATTTTAGTATTTATTTACATCTTACTGGCTTCTACATTAATTATATTTTCGAATAAAATTTACAACCAGCTCATTTATATTCACAGTAAACTCATCGTTTACATGTTTCAAAACATTTATATACAATGTAGTTCATGGATGTAACTTTGACTGATTCACCTAAATAGTCACTGCTTAGCTAACATATCATGACTTTAAACCTCTCTGTCTCTCTGCACCTACTATAGTTGTAGTAACCAGTACACGAATGTGTACTCATATACAATTCCATAGTGTCTCCTGATGAAGAACGTTTCGATGTCAAAGTGGGCACTGGTAATAGCATGCCTCCTTTCCTTTAATGGCATTGAAAAATGATTACAATAGAAACAAATAATACGAATATAATGACTATATATATATATATATATATATATATATATATATATATATATATATACATGTACCTCTTCAATTTCTTTCAAAGCTGCTTTTTCCAATTCATTAGTTAGCTTTTCCATCATAAATGAACCAGCCCATGGGTCAGCCACTTTAGTGATAGCTGTCTCTTCTTGTATAATGATTTGTGTATTACGAGCAATTCTGGCGGAGAATTTTGTTGGTAAACCGAGAGCTTCATCAAATGAATTTGTATGCAATGATTGACATCCACCGAATACAGCCGCCATTGCTTCAATTGTAGTACGCATAATATTGTTATATGGATCCTAAATAGAAATTTGAAAAAGGCGAAGAAAAAAATACGTCAGTTTGCAGGGATTTGAATTGGTCACAGGTTTGATCATTAGCTGATATCAGTTAGAAAACCAAGGAGTACTTACTCAACAACCTTTTCGTCCAACTTTTTCGGGACTATTCGGAAGTATGCACTCGACGAGGTTCCAGTCCATGACCTTGAGGTTACAAGGCGAGCTCGTAGACTATGAAGCCACTTATATCCAACCCAGTAACCCATGTTTTCCAACCTCTGCCCATTGGTGATATGTAATGTAACTACCAATCAATGTCATCGACGAGTAACTGTCCCCTTTTCTGACTTGGCTGAGGCTGCCGGGGAACTTCCAGCATAGAGCGTACCCAAAATTGCTCGCCAAGTAAAAACACATGATAAAAATAACTGCTCTATTCTGCTCAAGACATGAGTGCTGCAGTGTGTCCTGCCTCTTTATAATACACTAATATGTAATCAGAATAATTGACAGTGTTTGTTGGTTAGTTAGAACTCAGTTGCCCAGAACGGAGTTCCTATGTACTAGTCTAAGTCATACATATTGTGTGTGGACTAAAAACACTACTCAGTTGTCCGGGCTGACGAAGGTGGAGTGGGATTCGAATCTGGATCAATGGCCCGCATCTCCATGACATGACCACCCATATTCACGGTGTACGTCACTGACTAGAGAATCTAGTGTATGAAGTAGGGAGTGAATTCCATAAAAAATGGTAATTAGTATCAGGAGATTCAAAATAACTCAAAAACACCGCAAAGTGTATATCTTGGATTCTAAAGTAAATAACACAACTGAAATTCTAAACATCTATTCAAGCAGGCATCATGATGAGATTCCCGATCGATAGCTTCTAGCTTGAATTGCTTGTATATCGGAATTACGCAACGGGGCTACAATGGTTGTAGAAAGTATCATGTCAGAAAAAAAAACAGTTACCATCATAGTGTAAGTTCACACTATGTAGGCGGTGTGAGGACGAAGTCGTACTGCTGGCAAATACGAATGTGATAGTAATAAGGTGTTTCCTTCGTACGAACGGCAAACCAGATATGTTGCCTTCTATAAAATGGAAGAAGAATAGAAAAAGTTAACCCTAGGTACTGTACGTCCTGATTTACCTTGTGGCCTCGAGCAGTTGTCCCCTAAGCTATGCGGTCAAACAACACCTGTGCTCCATCTCTTTCAAGTATTTTAAGAAGAAACCAACTCCTACAATGTGTGAGACCACACACACACAAGGCTTTCTTGGTCATCATTTCCCCTCATCGTGGGGAAACTAAGTGAGATTTTCCTTCAGTATGGCAAATGTAGTCAGAAAATTACATATAAACGCAAACAACAAATAAATAACTGTGGAACAAAAATTGTCTATCATAGTCTAGTAGCATATTACATAACGACCTAAGGTTCATATCAATAAATACTGCGCTTCTATTTCAAATGATAATCCTATCACTACTACTTGAATACAGGTATTATCATAATGGTCTACCTCAACTGCGACGCATAAAAAGCACTTTCAAATATTAGGCTCTTAATGCATAGAACTATATATTACTAATTAAGTGACTGCTACGAGTAACTGCATACCACTCGTACCAAGCAGTAGTGCCTGCTAGGTATACCAAAGTGATGTCTAAACACTGGACAGCCGTTTAATTCCTTTGAGGTCGAGCTCATTACCAGTATATTCGGTTTGACTCATCTCACAGAACCGAATCAGTTCAAACCACCCAATTTCTGACTAGCTACTTAGGCGGATCAGTAACACTACAAAGCAAAATTGTAGTATCGCAAATTCATTGATTTGCCAGTCTGATGTGAGGTTCTACCACAGCTGACTTTTGAAAACCAAAATTATTCGGATTACAATAGGTGATCTGCTTGATAGCATAAACGACAGCAGTCGATATAAGCTGTATATCACTACTCATATCAATCAATCAATCTATTTATGGTTATAGAAAAGAGTTTAAGCAGATACGTATTTTCGGTAAATTCTCATCAGGCCTTTCATTTACATAACGATGAAATATTAATCATAGGCATTTTTATGATGAATATGGTCAATAAAATATCAAGGATCAGAGTTCAGGGATATGATATATAAGGACATATATATAAGGACAACAATCGAGGTGATCATAATAATAATAAGGATAGATTCATTCAAGTATTTATATAATCTAGGTAATGGTGAGTGTATAGGTAGGTGTAGAGGGGAAAATAACTTGTCACACAGCGATTAGATAATATAGTAGTAATGATAAACTGTGAAACAGAGATTAATATATAAAACTACAGCACAGCATGATATTGATAATAGAGTTATCCAGTAATCGGCGAGTATTTGTCCTCATCCCCGACCTGCTTTACCCCACTGGTCACGATATCAGTTCATGATGAAATCCTGAAAGCAATACTTTTGCATCAAAAATACGTCCTTGCTTGTCAATTGTTGATCAGTTAGTTTATTGTGTATATCTCTACACGTAGCTTCCTGTGGATTTTCAACTGAATAAACAATCGATAAACATCACTTGTATATTACTATTCAATCTTTATTTAAATAACAAACTGTTTACTGAATAGAAGAACGGCCTTTCAAACAAAAAAACTAGTAAAAAGACACATCCAAATATATTTAAACCTTCTGACTTTTCCAGTAATTAGGATATTATGAAAAAAAATCCAAACAATTTATAACCTTGATTTATAGATTAATTAGTAATGGATGGAATTCAAGACATATATGTTTCGTACAGAGTAGATACTCATCGATTGGACAGACTAGAAAATCTTGGGGTTTTCATTTGAGACTTTATATGCAGCAATGATTGCTGATTACATACGACAGACTATGTAGTGGTGCATATTTTGTTTGTTATTATGTTCGTTTATTGGACGAACCGAAGTTCGCCACCACCCTAAAGTAAACAGACTACTAGAGTGAATTTCAAAGTATAATTTTTCACAAATGTGATGCAGTTCAAGTTGCCAAACTTTATAAAACCACACATAAAAAGTAGAGACAAAATATGCTGAGAAGTACTTATTAGGAAATAGTGAAAATTTTCAGAATCTGGGAGACCACAAAGAGTGAATGTATCTCAGCCAGTGATAATGATTTTGAACGATGTCACCAACAGTCTCAAGCTATTGGTTTTTAGCATCTCAAGGATCCCTAACTAACCAGTCTGCATCTCTGTACGCGACTCATATTATCAGTCAAAGACTTTATGGACTGATGACAGCGTTTTGATTTAACCCCCTCTAGTTTTTTTCCAACCAAAGACTATATCGGCTATAATTGCGTTAGCTCCAGGTGTGTAACACATGTGGCCAAACAAAAACATGGCATCAATCCATGAAATCCTTGGCAGTTAAACTGTGTCAGGTAGGGAGATGCAGACTCCCGGGTTGGGGGCCTCGGGACTCTAGGAATCAATGGCTGGAGACAATAGGTGACATGGCTCAAAATCGTTGTCAATGCCTAGCGCAGATGTATTCAGTCTCTGTAATCTTTCATATTCCTTTCTACCATTACCCATTCTGTTCCACTCTTATACTTGTCAGACTGTATTGATTCTCTTCATTCATCTTCTTGTCTACCTCTGTGTGCTATTTGGAAGGTGGCAACTCGGACTGCTGCACTTCGGTGCCAAGTTCTATGTTGAATCCAGACAGACAGAGACAGTCCTACCCATCTGAATTGAAGCGGCTTCAGAACCCCATCGTCTGTTTAATAATAATAATAATTTCGCTTTTATTCCAGAAACAGTACTAGTGGTACAGCGTGGAATTTTCAGCACATATCTACAATATTGCATCTAATTTCATCGCACATTTAAAAAGAGTATTACAAAAAAACAAATTAAAAAAATAACAACGAAAACCAAAAAGAAACACGAAGTTAACAAAAAATGCAAATAAAAATACCAAGTAGAAAGGAAGATAAACACCAGTAATGAACGACATTTCAGTATTTGGTAGTGGAGGCTATGATATGTGTATGCGTGGTGAACAGTAACAGCTATAATCACACAAGAAGTTATGAAATGTTCTTAAGAATGTTAATAGCCAAGATGATCAGTTAATTTGATTTAACTACACTAAACAATCATAAAATAAACATTTCAGAGTTTTTATTTTTATTGTCAGCACTAATGAGGTGTTTGTTGTGGTAGTGTGAGTAATCCTGCATGATACAAAATTTTAAGATGGTGATAATGGCGTTCACAACCAAGATATCCAATTTAATATTCCCGAACAAAAAACAACCACAACACTAATATTACATGATGGTCAATGACAAGACAATTTTGTAATGCTCATAGTGCTAATATAGTCGGAACCAGTAGATACACAAAAGAAGGAATAGAGTAAAGTACAAAAAAAGTAAGCCAATGTTAATAATTTAGGTAGCTAAGTATGTTTAAGAAGGTTGTTCACTATAGAGCACAAATAAGAGAGTATAAGGGGGAAATAACAAGGGCTAAAATTATGTTATTAATAACAAAGCAAGTCATAGGTCTCGCGCTTAACATTGTCTCTGTCACTTAGAACACGGGCCAAATATGGTATCGTTGAGTTCCTATACTTGGTTGTACGAGCATATGTTATTTTGTACTGATTTCTGGTTCTACCTGATGAGATGCAAGGAATAGAGTTGGGAATAGAGGGGGTGTTGCGGATGCCCGGCGCTCTTCACCGGGTTGACTGTCCATTGGATGACAGTCTAGGGGAGATGGCTAAATCCTGATTCCAAACCTCCAACGACTGGCGTATGAAGCTCACCGGCAGACGTTTGGACAAAGGGCTTATTGGATGCCCTGGATGACTGGCCCCATTCAAAAAGGCGAATGAACCGGACTCCGGTCACCGGCTGCCAATGGATAGTGGACTCCTTACTCCACTCCTACTGCCTTGTAGGTCACACTTGGCTGTGTAAAGGCTAGAGCTGCACTCTCAAACAAAAGGCCGAGCGATGCTGGGGACATCACTCGTACCAAATTCCCATGAAACTTCATGGTTCATGAAGCCGGCTCATCCTCCCGTAGGAGATAGCCGAAGTAAAGTAAAGTAAGTAAGTTGCGGGTCGGAGAGTATGGTTTTAGACCATTTTTCGCATGCATTCAGATGCTTATCTACTAACGTAGTGACGAGCTGACTGAGTTTTACACCACTAGTCCTACTAACTGTCTTTAACATCCTTCTCAGGATGGTAGTCTTTTTTCAGTAACCCAGGAAAGACTAATGGGGAGCAGTAAAGTAGAATAGGTAAGATACGAGAGTTGACTAATTGTGAAAGCAGAGGTTGAGTGATTTCAGTTAGTCTGAGTTTGTTAATGTAGTAGGTTAAACGAAACACTTTCTTAGAAATCGTTTGGATATGTGATGACCAAGTAAGGTCGAAAGATAGAACTAGTCCGAGGTATTTTGCAGTAGACTTAGTTTCAATTTTAGTCCCCTCAATGCTACAGGTTTCATAAGTGCTTACTAGTGTTTGTAGATCTCGTTTATGCCTAAAGGAGAAGTCAATGGTCTGGCATTTTGAGGGATTCAGTATGAGGCCATTTAGTTTAGACCACTGGCTGATGTCCGACAGAAAGCTATTTAATTCGAAACAGTCTGACTGAGACTTAACGGGAAGCGAAACAGTCAGGTCATCTGCATATTTCACGAAGTTGATTTCGTCCGAAAGAGCTAAGTCATGTAATAAGAAGGAAAAGAGAAACGGAGAGAGAACAGCACGCTGAGGAAAGCCAGCTTCAGTAAGCAAAGGAGAGGAAGCTACACCATTATATGCCGTGTACTGCATCCTATTGGAGAAGTAAGAGTGCAGCCAGTTGATAACCCAGGACTCAGTTTGTGTAAGGCTAAGCTTGTTTAACAAAAGGCCTCTAGGTACAGAGTCGAAAGCAGATGCGTAATCAAGGAACATACAACGGACATACTTGGCCCCTTTGTCTAAGGAGGATACAATGTTGTGGTGAAACACAGCAGCGGCGTCTAAAGTACTTCTACCCTGTTTGTAAGCAGACTGCTTTGGATCATTTGAGAAGCTCAGGAAGGGAACAAGTTTAGTCGGCAATGACGAGTTGGCACGGATGAAAGAGGCTCGTAAAGATTTTACAAGTTAATGCCATCTTTGGTATGAATGTGATATCTGGTTACCGATCCGAGGAAGTGTGTACTGCCCACTAGCTCACTGTGTACTTCTTCATGGCTGTGAAACACGGCATTCGGAAGTGGGATGTGTGATGAAGAGGTTAGTTCTGTCTGATCACAGAAGTTTGTGTTCTATCTCCTGTGTTAAGTAGTATAATAGAGTGAGTAATATTGAGGTTAGGTGTAGATTGTTAGGCAGGTAATGAAGGCAAGTCAACCCATAAGGTTGTGAAGGTCAGTTGGTTTAGATGGCTAGTACACGTGTTGCGCATGGTGAGTCAGATTCTTCCTCAACGGGTATTCTAAGCCGACAAGTGATTAGTTTTGAAGAGAATATGCGGTGGTCTAACCCAAACCTGCCATCAGTAAATGAAATCGTTGACAGTTAGTTTGATTTACGTGTGTGGGGGTGTAAACTGCCTCGTTTGGGTGGTCAGAATGCTAAGAACCAATGGTTGGGGAATATTGGCATAATGGCTTAAAGGGAGAGATTCGGCAAAAGTTACTTTCTTCAATTATCTGGCCAGGAAGCACGGTGTCAGCCATAGGCAGTCGGAACGAATGAAGATGTCAAAGCCAGCCAGTGAGAGTCGTAAGGGCAAGATACACCTTCATCAACTTGAAACCAGTTTGGAAATCTGATCTCATTCAGTCAGGATAAAGAACAAGATTTGGATTTTCAACATTATTGTGAAGTTGGTTAGTTTTTCTATATGGTTCACAAACTTTTACTGTGTGTCACAAAAAGCATTTCCAGCAGGCTACTGAAGACTTTGATCAACAGCTGCATTCGCTGGCTCCATACTGAGCATCAAATGGCCGGCCAGGAGGAATTAGTAACAAGACAGACTGGCTGAGAACAAACCGACCAAGAAATGCGTAGAAGAAAATGGAGATGGATCGGGGATACATTGAGGAAGCCATGAAATGACATCGCGCAATCGTCAGGTCATTGCTCGAGTGGAATCCAATAGGGAAGCAAGGAGTGGGTTGACAGTGCGAGGATGATATGGAGGATCTAGTGCTGGTATGAGGAGGCGATGAGAGATTATGAGCAGTCGTGAACCTAGCTGAAGAAGAGAACAGAGAATGGAAGAAAGTGGAAATGTGCTGTTGAAGTCCTATGTTCCACTTGTAACACAAGGGAGTAATAATAATACTAGTTTCAATCAGCCAGTTGACTATACCTAGGCAGGTTCGATTGACTAAAAGAAGTCACATGCATCTTCCACTTTATTCTTCTAGATAATATACTAGACTTAGAGCTACACTGAACGTGTGTGAAGGCTACTTAGCAAGTCTGAAGTAGGTGGAGCAGAACTCGAACATGAAGTCTATTGGTTGTGAAAGTTGAGTATTTTAGTCAATGAGCCAAATCGCATCTTTTATGCAATAAAACAACAACAACGTTGATAGTAAACAGATAGTAACTTACTTGTTCTGTTAACGACCAACCTGAAGTCTGACAATGCGCACGAAGCAATAAAGATTTCGGTGATTTAGGCTGGAATTTTTCTTTAATCAATTTTGCCCAAACTCGACGTGCAGCACGCATTTTAGCTATCTCCTGCAATAATAATAGTAATAATATTAATAATTACTTTTAGCTAACAAAAACGAAAAGCAAAAAGATGGGAAGGAGAGACATATAGAGAAAAAGAGAACGAAATAATTTAATAATTCAATATATATATATCAGAGTTCTGACGAAAAAGCGGAAGAGAACGAAAAGTTAGGCCACAGGCAATAGAGTAACTTATTTATTTATTTGAGGCAGCCAGCAAGCCGATGTTGAGATCTTTATACAGACACAGATCCGAAAAATACTTCAAACAGACTGTGTCAACGGCCTCTTGCAGTTGTCCCCGGGGCTGTGACTTCATGCAACAATAATGTTATTTATGTTTCAGGTATTCAGAGAAGGCATCTACTTCTATAGTATAGACAACTAGGAATTACTAACTACTCGCACACTTCCGTAAGCAAACAAGGCTTTCTTGTTCATCAACCACCTTCACCTCAAAATCGTTGTCAATAGCGCGAACACATTGACTATTTGTTATCTCCTAGATTTGCTAAATGCTTATTATAATTCCTTTGAATTCCTTTCTTCTCTACCTTTGTCTGTGTTTTACAGAGTGTAGCAGCTTGAAATGCTGCTGCATTTCTGTACACAGTTCTATGCTAAAAAAAAACTCATTCAGTCATAATTCAATTATTAATCAGTCGTAAAACACCACCCAACAAATTCAGCTGTTGCATATTCACATCTTGTCAAGAGTAATGTCTATGTTATGTAGAAAATTCATGGTCACATTTGAGTATTACTGAAAATGGTGGTTCTATCAGGCTATTTTCTCCTTTGTCTAACAGTCATACCTTTTAATCTTATTGATAATTGAATGAATCAAAATAAATACACCTTTTTTTTTCTTTTCCATGAAACTTATCGACCAACACAAAATTCAAGATCTCCTACAGAGGCTTACTTGTCGATTAACTACCAGTGCATAAACAGATTTCAATTAAACATCCTCTCTCATAGGAAAAAATAAAATAGAAAAAAAAACGATCACGAGAGAAGTAAATAAAACACACATAAAAGACTATGCACACACTAACCATATAGAAATTCATTCCAATACCCCAAAAAAATGACAAACGTGGAGCGAATGCATCAATATTTAAACCAGCATGATTAACACCCAGTCGACAATAATCAATGCCATCAGCAATTGTATATGCCATTTCTAAGACAGCATTTGCACCAGCCTCTTGTATATGATAACCAGAGATAGATATTGAATTAAATTTAGGCATATTCTACACAAAAACAGTCAAAATAAAAAACACAGAAACAAGCTATTTTTGAATAAATTCAATAAAAACAAAAGCTTTTGGTGTAGATAGATAGATTTTCTAACAAAAAGGTGAAAATTCTATACACTAAGGATATTTAGTTAGAGGTTGAACTTTATGATTTCGTTAGACCATTTATTGTGTTTTTTCTTCGGTCACTTTAGCCTCTTACTCTTATTGTGGTTGTGTATATACCTTTGCCTGTTAATCCGTTATTATACAAAACAGCCAACAGCTTATTTCAAGTTAGAGCGTGAACTGACATCGATTACAGAGCTAATGAAAACCAGGGAGTACTGGAGAGAATTGTTTTATCCTAGTTTGAAACTCTTAGATAGCACGCATCGACGACTTCCACCGCTAATTAAACCTCGTACCCTCAGGTTACAGGGTGAGCTCGTTGATCTAGCCACCATTATCAGTAAAGATTTATTCCCACATCTGATTTGGTGGATTCTACTGGTCACGATCTCTAATAAGAACTCCACACACTCCATCCTGAAGTCAGTCGAACTCATGCAAACCAACACTAGTAGCTTACTTCTACTTTATTAAAATAAACGTCAGCATTTGTTTTAACAGTATTCGCATAAGGTTTTTGTGCATAATTTAACCGCTTGTATTTCAACCTAAATTTCTTGTCGTGAAGTTGCTGGTTTAGCACTAATGGAAATGATTCACACATGACGGTATACGCTACTAACTGAAATAAGTAGCTGAAGTATTTGACTTGAGCAACAGTGCTTGCTAGCCAGGTCCCAGGGATATAAAAAATACAGGACGGTCATTTATCTTATTTATACCCGAGCTCAACAACGGTGTTACCGGGGTTTTGACTCAGCTCAGAGAGCCTAATCACTTCTAACCATCCGAATTCTGCTTAGCTAGTAGGTAGAACCGGTAGTACATAGAATTAAATTCGCTACAGTTTCATATGGAAATCCAAAATATCCATATGATAATATCAGATCATTTCGATTTCCATTACGGATAAGATTTTTTTGTTGATAAATCACACAGTGTTATACTGTAATACATACTGATTACGTTTCGAGCACAAACTATTGCTCATAATCACATCAAGTTACTCACACAACTTTTTTCTTTCATTTATATACATGTGTGGAATCGATTAGATACTATGATATGATTATCAGAAATAGTTTGTGCTCGAAACGTCATCAGTTAATATAACTGTACAATATTGTGTGATTTATCAAAATAAAATCTTATCCATAATGGAGTTATACTCTACCACAGTGCCCAAGTTTTATACTTATATCATTTTGATTTCACTGGCAAACACAACTGTTTGATGTGAGTGGTGTTCAGCTACTTATGTCAATCAGCAGTAAATATACCACTACATAACTGTCTGCTGTCTTGACTGTCATTTATGTTATCAAACATCGCATAATTCAAACTGTATATCTTTAAAACAATTAGTTCCCTTTATGAATTTAGACAAAGCAATAAGAAGACGTAATTTGTCTGAATCATGTAATGTATTTGAGCAATACACCTCAAACTATCGGATCACACACGGACTTGTCACAGGAATGTATATGATATTAGTAAAGAGGTGAGAAAATAGACGTAGGTCAAGTTAAAAGGACATATTCAAGGTCAAAATAACAATGAAGATCACTAAATCAAATAACAGAGGTAATAGTACACCTGCCCTGGCTGGCATCAAAACAAAGTTTACCAAGGAAGGTTTATTATGATGACGAATTGTTGCTTTGAATGCATAAAGGTGTTTTAAACTTTCTAATTACTACGGCTTCCACAAACTTTAGGATAAGCCCAAAACACGTTTTATAGATAGGTTTAAAAGATGCGTAAACGTCAATTTTATGTCCTGTCTCTATTGTATGTTTTGCAATAGAGGAGTTAGGTCTCCTGTGCTCACCATTAATGGATTCTGTTAAATTCTAGAGCCATTTAGGAATATGCTCTGAAGCCCTTACTTGCAGAGATCGACGAGTCCTCCCTACGTATGTGTGTCCACACGTAAATTCAAACTGGTAAATACAGTGTTTGATAAAAGTCATGAACATAGGATGATAAAGTCTTATGTTTGTGAATACCTGGAGTAAGGTCATTCAGCCATACGCGACTTATCCTTTAAACATTATCCACAGAGCTAAATTCAGCCACTCTATAAGTTAACCTTTTCTTCAACATGGACAAAAACTTGGACTATGTATGCATTCAAAAACGTTTTGCTGAACTGATTCCTTCGATTCAATTAATTCCACCTCACTTTATCTTCACCAGCATTATTCTTATCATCATCAACATCACAAATTTTGACATTATTGGATCTACTTTTAAGATCTTAATACTAATTCACTTAATTAATAATCTTTTCAAAATGTTGTAATTCATTCACTTCAACTCTGCTTCCCACCTCCTCATGGACATCATGTCAATTATCCTTATTTTTATCATATGTGCATTTGGATTGAACCATTTTTAATCCCCTTAGTGCTTTGTTTCCCGTAATATGCATACGATAGCACAGTATGGTTCGGTGGCAATATACTCGTCAACCATACATGTGGTTCAAGGGCTCGACCCACGGTCGACGCACTCCTTAACCTCGCAGAGCCGGTGTGGTAGTAAGCCTGATAAATGGGGATGGTTGAATTAGGTGAGATTTTGACCCCAAGTCATAAAAGAAAATTCAACCCTACAGGAATAACATAAAAGGTAATAAACAGTATAAAGGTGAAGTCATTGAAAAGAAAAAATATACACCCCCTGTTGAAAAAAAAACAAACCAATGGGTATATTTCGTGCTAAATGTATTTACTGACTCACATTTGCTGTATAGGCAAAGATATCACTAATAATTCGCATTGAAGGTTTTGGTGGAAATATATAAGTGTTACGAACCATGAATTCTTTTAATATGTCATTTTGAATAGTACCTGCCAGTTCATTTTGTTTTGCACCCTATAAAAAAAGAAAAGAAAAAGAGCCGCTTTCACTTTACAATAATTAGTATTTTGATAAAATACTTGGATAAAAAAGCCTCAATCATATGGACTGTGTTGATATGTACATAATTGCGTTTAATCAAACAAAACAGACTTTTATCAATAACTGCCTTTGCTGGTTTCATATGCTGAAGATCAGATGGCCGACTGGAAACGATCAGCGACAATGAACTTCGGGAAGAAACCAGTCAAGAATCCATAAGCCCAACAATTATGAAGAAGAAAATGGGGACAGATCGCACACACGCTGAGGAAACCATTGAGTGACACCACGTTCCATTGAGACCCTCAAGTAGAGGCAAAATGGGAGACGTAGGTTGCCGGGTGATATGGGGGATATCGTGTGAGGTGGAGATGACAGCTTATAAGCAATTGTGAAGCCAGCTAAAAATGACTGCAGAGAACAGAGTGAAGTGGAAATGCGACTGATATTGAAGTCCCATGTTCTATTCGGAACTCAATGAAATTATAATAATTTATTTATTTTTATTTTTATTTATTTTTTTTATTTACAGCTTGATTTCACACCGTATTTTTGGTACAAGTATGGAATTTTCAGCGTGGATATCGGTAGCCCAAAATTCGCAGGCCGACCATAGATATCATGTGTGCGTCGGCGTGGGCTCGAACCCCGGACCCTGTGCATGGTAGGCGAGGATTCTAACCACTATGCCACCTATGATAATAAGCCGAACAGAATGGCACAGGAGAATGTACATTTCTTGTTTTGGGACCATTAGGAACCATAATCGTATCTGTGATAATATCACATTTAAGTTTGTCCTCTCGTCCTACAAACCGTTACCTCAAAAATACACAACAATATAAGACCCATCACCAGAATACTATTACTAAAATGATGAAGATACCGAAGGCTGACTAAGAAGGCAAAGATCTATTGCTCCATGGGAAAAAGTAATATATTTCTCATAACCAACAAATGAATTGTTTGATATATGAGAAACAACTATGTTCTGATTCACCGAAATGCACCAATAAAAATGCAATGACGTAACGCTTAATCTAAATTAGAATCAGATGCCTAATTTACAGATCACGCAAACACTGGCCACTGATAATATGTCTCCTCTAGTCCATACAGCCATGATCTACTGGATAGTAGCTTCTTCCTTTTTTAGGATACTTTAGCAGCATTCAACCCCATCAGAGATCGAACTCACAACTTATACGTTAGATTTCGTGATCAGAGTTTGTAGGATTCCGTCCACATGGCTCGAAATCAATCACGATAGCATCGATTTATTCATTCTCTTTATCAAACCTAAAATTTCAAAGAATTCCCGTTAACCTAAAGGAAACGGACTCCAGCAAAAGACCAACCAAATGACTGAACAAATCAAACGTGGGCACACCAGTGACACTGAAGGATTCTGGGAGCATTTGAAAAACAGGATTTGAGAGGAAAGTGAGTCAGGAAATGACGTGATATACAGTCAGTCATCTCGATGAATTCATATGCAGTAATTGGTTTGAACCAACACAGTAAGAACACTAATAGCGAACTGGAGAACATTTCTAAAACATAAAAGAGATCCCCATTTTCTATTATTTAATTCCTTTACGTTTCCAGTGGAACATAGGGCTTCAAGCCTGAGCTTTAATTTTTCGGTAGCAGGGATGTTTATTTTTACAGGATGCGGTTGCTAGCCTCATGCGCAACCTTCCCTCTTTACCGTTCTTATTACCGGCTTACTGAGGTAAAGCAGTGCGTCGGCCGGGGATCGAACCCCAGGCCAAATGCGTGGTTTGTGAACATTCTACTGCTTAGCCACCAATCGCCATAGTGTATAATTATTTTGCATTGCTTAATTTATTTCCAATCAAAATTTTCTACTCAAATAACATTTTTTTAAATATACGGCTCTTCTGATTGTTTGTCCAACGTCATTCGGGTGCACTATACTTTACTACAGCCAAAATTCCTCTATAACTTTAAAAAAATTATTTTTCTCCTTTGTTTCAAACTTATGTTCATCATTTTTATCATTCATTTCATCTTTGTTATTTTAAAGTAAGATAAACTGAACTGATGTACATCAATGTAAGAATTTATGTTTTGTCTAATACTGAGATTCATCCCTTGAATTCCTAAAGGAACAATGGGGTTTCAACTTTGAGATCTTGAAGATTCAGTAGTGTTGATGTCAGTCGGGAGTCAAACCCTAAAAACATGCGTAACTGGCAAAGTTCTATCACTGAATCTACGATACACGAGAGTTAACCATCAAGCTAGTTTATGTCATGTCATGCTAAGTACTTGGAGTCGGCGGCTGATTAGATTCTATTATATATACAAACGTACAAACCGACGAAGAATCCTAGGCAAAATGAATTTTCCTCACGTTTTTACAAATCAGAAAAGCATACATGAAACAAGAAACATGCTACTGCAATTAACAAGCATGACTAAGACAGATGAAGATTACTGAAGGTGTGCCAAACTTCAGTGATAATACAAAACAGATAGTTCTGTGACATAGTGAAGAATTTGAGTCATATCACTAATAGTCTTCTATCCGTTGAGTTTGATTACCTCGAAAACCCTAACCTGACAGTTTGCCTCAATTTCTCTATCTACGTAAATGACTTGAACTGACAATTAAATGAGCCTTTACAGATTTCGTATCTTAACTATGCTATGGTGGGAAGGGGTGGAAGGGGGAGGTAATTTAACTAGGAGATCTGATCTGTAGGGAAAATTCATAAATCTATAGGGTTCTGAAATCTGTTTTGCAAATTATCGTTCCCTTTGTTGACAGGAGAAACACACGGCTTCAGAAGCATATCTCTATTTTACTCTATTCTCTGTAGTCAGTTTCAACTAGCTCCGTGGTTGCCGATAAGCATTCATTCGCTCTTCATACGATCTACTCCATGTCACCCTCGGACACGCAACCCAACATTTCCTGTTCGAGTCCCAATTGGGAATCTGTCTCGCGCGCGATGTCACTCGGGGATCTCTTCAGTGTATATCCAACCAAACTCCATTTCCTTATGCATACTGATTGAGTAGTCAGTTCTTGGTTGGTTTGTTTCCAGAGTTTGACATTTATTTCAGAGGAATAAAGGATTACCTTGTTTTTCCGATTCTGTCCTTTACATCCTCATCTGTGTTGCCTGTAGTTGGAACAGTGTTGTCTAGATAAGGGGAAGAGGTGATCTCCTTCAAATCTGATGGCGATTGGCTTTCTTTCCCATCACTATTTTATCTGCGTTCACTTGAACGCCTGTGTTTAACTGCCACTTCTGCCCTACTTATTGGTTTCACTAGTAGATCTTCGAGTTTATGTGACGTTACACATAAATCCTCTAAAAGTCCAAATCTTCTAAAGTCTTCTACCTCCCCTCGTTCTGCTGAAGACAAACAGACAAACTGATACAGAATCCTAAGCACAAGTGAATTTTCCTAGCTTTTAAAGTTGAGAAAGGTATATATAAAACCACAGGATACAATGAGACTTCAATTCTAGTATATGTTGAGTAAATTACAGAGAAACAAAGATATTTCTAAATAAAACATGCAAAGGTTTATGTACTCATACACTCGGTATGTGAGATATCAGACTACTAGACTGACTAGGTTCAAGTCTGGGAAATGTGTAAAAACTTATAACCTCGAAGATAAGAGATTGAACACAACGATTAATGAGCAATATTATCCTCATAAAAATGTCATATGAGTTAACTGTCACAAAGAGTTAGTAGTAGAGTAGTAGAGTTGAAGTGGATAAATTACAAAACTTTTAAAGGTTATTAAATAAGTGAACTGGTATAGATATTTTTAAATTGTAGGTCTGGTGTTGTCTAAAAAATTAAGGGTAAGATGATGATAACAATAAAGACGGAGAAAGTGAAGTGAAGTGGAATGAATTCAAGTGGTGAAATAGAATAAAATAAAAGAACATCACTATGACCAAGGTAAAGAAAAGGGTTGAACAAAACGTTTTCGAACACAATTTAGGTTTCTGTCCATGTTTAGCTAGAGCTTCGACTATGCCTTGGTAGAGAAAATGTAAAATATTGAAGTGGTTGGATTTGGTCCTGTGGTTAACTTTAAAGGATAAATCATGTGGAGCTGAACGGTCTAACTCTAGAAGGTGTTCACAGATTGAAGATTTTGTTGTCTTTTTTACTCACCTTTCATCAATCAAACCTGGTAGTGTTCAGCTACGCGTTTACGGAGAATACCCTTACAATATACAATGTAATCAGCTCTACCTGAGCACGTGAATGAGTATATGCACTTATAGGTGGACAAAAGCGGTAATTTATCCTTGACGCATTGTAAAATCATATTTTGGCTAGTAAGTACTAAATGTAAGTCAGGTGCATAGAAACACCGTCTTTATTGTTATCATCATCTTACCCTTAACTTTTTAGACAACACCAGACCTACAATTTAAAAATATTTATACCAGTTCACTTATTTAATAACCTTTAAAAGTTTTGTAATTTATCCACTTCAACTCTACCCCCATAGTAAATCACTGTAATTATCTTTATTCTTATCATATGTATATTGACTGAGCAATTTTTAGTGTCACTTGATGCCTTTTTCCGTATTATAAATACGACTGTACAGCTTGAAAATGAAGTCGTTGAAAAGAGATATTTCTTCGCTCGACAAATTATCAGTCAGTTTATTAGATTAAACCTTGGAGGTAAAAGAAAAAGAAATGTATAAGAAAGAAAAACTAATCAAGTTACCATATTATGAAAATGTATTTGTACAATCCCCAAGAGATAAAAAATTAAAAGGTCAATTTTTGTAACCTTAAAGTAGTGGCATTTCATTGGAGAATAAAACTTGTATAGGTCGTCCTACGTTTCAGAAGTCATTTGAATGTAAAAGGCGAAACACTTACCCGCAAATAAGCAGACATCAGAGTTACTCTTAGGTTGATAAACAGTTAGGAGTGGTCCAGTCAAAACATGTCATCAAGCCATGAATTCTCTAAGCATTAATACAAACCACGTAATGACTATTACGCAGACTGTCTTGTTGAATCTACAAGACGCTAAGAACCAGTGGTTAGGGACTTTTGGTGATATGCCTCATAATCATTTCAAATGGCGCAGATGCAATCAGTCTTTGTAATCTCCCGAATTCATTAAACCCTCATATTTTTCTATGTAATTATCCTTCCTCCCGTATATTCCTGCCCATTATAGTTCTTTTTCTCTTTTTCTCTACCTTTATGTACAATATGTAATGCGAAAACTTTAATTGGTGTACTTCTATTCTAAGCTCTACATTGAAATTCAGTCAATCTGACAGTCATTACAAAGTAAGATAAATTGCACATATCGTATTCCTTGAAGATTTAGATTCCATTGAGATTGTAAAAGCAGCTTTTTTCCACTTTCACAACTGTGCAGTGTTTGACTTGTTAAATTCTGGTTAGACCACGGATTGACATCAGTTGGAGAACCATTGAAAAACATCAGAGAGTATTGGACGGCTGTTTCATCCTAGTTAGAGACCCATCGGCAGTACGCATCCACTGGGTTCCGAACTCAGGACCTTCTAGTTACAAGGCAAGCTCGTATGCCATTCAGCCACTGGGACCCAATCCAATGGCCTACGAATTCTTACTTCTACCAATTCCTAATTATAGCGTGGCTGGCGTCAACCAACGTTATCGGTGAGCATTTGTCCTCACTCCCGACTAGGTGGACCCTACTGGTCACGAGTTCTCACTAGACCATGGATTGGTATCAGCTAGAGAGCTTGGGTTCGAAACCCAGTGGATGCGTACTGCTGATGAGTCCCTAAGTAGGATGAAACAGCTATCCAGTACTCCAGTGCTGGTTTTCAATGGTTCGCTAATTGATATCAATTGGTGGTCTAGACTGAAACAAATAGAATCCCTACAAACTAATTATTAAAAACTATAAAAATATTAACGAATTGATTCATATGCATCAACATAACATTGACTGACCTGTTCTTCTGCAGCGACAATAAAGAAAGCCAAAATCGGTAAAACAGCCCCATTCATAGTCATTGATGTACTAATCTTATTCAATGGGATACCATCAAATAATCTTGCCATATCATCAACCGAATCTATGGCTACACCAGCCATACCAACATCTCCATGTACTCGAGGATTATCTGAATCATAACCTGAAAAGAGAAAAAGATTATTTTTGTTTTAAAAAAATAGTTATGTATGATACGTACCTCTATGCGTAGCTAAATCAAAGGCTACACTCAATCCTTGAACACCTGCTTTAATATTGTCCTTATAGAATTTATTGCTTTCTTCGACAGTTGAAAATCCTGCATACTAGTTAAGATGACATTATAACATTACAAAAAAACACCCTCCTACCTGTCTAATAGTCCAAGGTTTTTGTGTATACATGGTAGCATAGGGGCCACGTGTATAAGGGTAGCTTCCAGGTACTTCTGTATTTACATCAACAATATCTTCAGTTGTATAAATTGGTTTGTAGTTAATACCCTGAATTGATTATGAATTAGGATATGCTTACCTCATAGTTTTTATGAACTAGACATTCTGGATCTTTGCCTTTTAATTCTTTTTTAGCTAGCTCTAACCATTGAGGATTTAAAGCGATGCAGTAATTGTTTGTGCGTTTTAAAGATAACACTCCTTGTCTAAAGTTTGCATTACTAGAACGTCTTAAGCAGATACTATTTAGATGTGATAATAACATTTATGCCTAATGATGTTAGTGTATATATAAATATGAGATTTTATGTATTTTGAGAAGATTTGATGAAGAGAAAACAATGCAGAAGACAGAACCTGAGTATTACTGAAAGAAAAAGAAAAAATTTTAAATAATAACTCTAAGGTTTAAAAAAAATAGTGAACAAATTATAATGAAAATAAAGACAATTGGCAGGTACGGTAAGCAGGGCTTCAGTAACATATTACCATTTCACTCTGTTCTGTGCAGTCATTTTTCGTTGGCTCTAAGATTGCCAATAAGCTTTTCTTTCCTGCTAACATGATCACCTTGGCTTAGGGTTTCACTCAACGGTCTGGCAGGTGGAGTCGATCAACAGCCTCTTCATCGAATGTCCGATTCATCGCCATTTCCTTTCACATATTTATACAACACAATAAGAAGACGTAGTTTATCTGAAACGTGTAATGTATTGCCGCAACACATTTCGGACATTCTGATCATACACGTACTTGTCACACACAGTTTTTATAGAAGGCATGAATAATTACAATACAGGTCAGATTGTATACCGGTCAAGGTCACAAATAATGGGTAGAGAGACGCAAAAGGTGTGGGTAAGAAAGAGAAAAAACAAGGCAAAGAAGGGACTGAAAATATTATGAAGTGAGTTGGTCCTTGGTTCTAACTTAGATTACCAAGACAGGTTTAAGGTGATAACAAATAACTTTTGGACACATAAGACAGGTTTAATTCTTTTTATGGCTAAGGCTTCAATGAATTCAAGTATGTGGCCCAACCTTGTTTTATACATCGGCTTATAGGCATTGTTGGATTCAACCTAATGACCCGTCTCCATAATATGCTTCGCTATAGATGATGTTGAACATCTATTTCCGCGGTCAATTGTGGCTGGCGATTTCATTTGTTGTTGCAGCCACTTTGGAATGTGTTCTGCAGCCCTAACCTGCAGATACTGATGGGTCATTCCTATGTACGTGTCTCCATACATACATGTAAATTGATAAACACAGTGGGATGTGACACTATCGTCCGGATAATGTGAGGGTTTACAGGACAGCATAGTTCTCTTTTTCTCTATGAAGATAAGTTTAGCTGCATAATAGGTTCTATTAATTGCGGCCTTGAGTCTTTGTCTAGTGACAGACTTTGTTGATCACCTCTGAACGGCAAGGATATGTAAACATCCTTTTTGGGAGCGGATTGGATTGGTGAAGCTCTATGGTTGACACTTTCTTAACGTCTAATAAATCTCAGTGGTTAATTGTTATCTAACAATATTTCAGTGAGGTGTTGTCTTACTTCACTTGTATGAGCAGTACATATACGGTGAATGTGCTTGAACAAACACTTAACCAACGCCTTTTTATACTGTAGTGGACAGAAACTATGATAATTTAGATACTGTCCCGTCCATGTGGAATTTCTGGGCACAGGTTGTTTTACTGAGGCATCTTCTGGGCAGGTTATGAGTACATCTAAAAATGGCAGCCAGACATTATTCTCTTTAACGTATGCTGGCGATATACAGTTTTGTGCTCTGTTTTTACAGACACAATTGACCCCGGAAATAGATGTTCAACATCATCTATAGCGAAGCATATTATGGAGACGGGTCATTAGGTTGAATCCAACAATGCCTTTAAGCCGATGTATAAAACAAGGTTGGACCACATACTTAAATTCATTGAAGCATTAGCCATAAAAAACTCAAACCCACTTCAAGCTTAAGATAATTAAAGTTAGGAAAGCGTAATAAGTACCTTTTAAATATATAAAATTATATGCCGAATTTCGGTTGAGAAAGCTTAAACTACTTGACGAATCACCTTGTTGTTAAAACAATGGTTTCCGATAACCTGCCAATAAGCTACCTAGAATGAGCAAGATTAGGTAAACTTCGGTTATCCTCTCGAAATTTTCTATTGTGGCCACATGTTTAGAGACTGTCAGCCAAGTAAGTCCCATACCCTACCTTAAAGAGTGAAAGGTTAACTGAGTCTAGCACTTAAAACCGGATTGTTGAACATGCATGTTTACTTATGACGAGCTGGAAAACTCTGTTTACAAAACTATGGTGTACACGGACTCCAGAATCTGAACGCATCGAATGGCCAATGAGACTGTTTTGGTCACTTTCAACTATTAGAACAGAGCTCCTGATGATGCTACGCTGCCTTGTGGATCAGACTTAAAGTCGAATGCTCGGGGGTAGAATTGGTCCTGGTCTGGGTGTCGCGATAGTATCCCAACCCTCACACAAACTATGAAATCTCGAGTGGAGCATCTCTTGGTGCCCATAATGAACCAAGTTTGTCTTAATAAATTTAAAAAAATATTAAACCACACGGAAACGACGTCTATACCAGTCTTGCAGACAAAGACACCCATTGTACCCGTGTTACCATTTAAATTTTAACATGTTGATACGTAATCTACTGAATTTATTACATTTTAATAGCTTTCAAACCTTCAAAATCTTTTGGGTAGATTCCAATCAGAAACCTAAAAACTCATACGAGAAAATGTCAACAGTTTACAAAATTCACCATTGGTATTGGTCAAGTCATGTTATGGATTTCCAAGCTAGAATTTTATTCGTACAAGACCATAAATTGCATATTAGTTCAGATGGATGAAACGGTTTTTCAATTCAACACAATTTTGTTGAATGAAGTGTAAAATAGAAAACCAGACATCATTCGGGAAGGCATTGTTTTAAAAAATTCTGAATTCTGTAAATAATTGGTCATACTCAAAAACTTTGTAAGCCTCGTCATTTTAATTCGCTGTTTGTTTTAAATCTACCTACAGCAATATTATAATTGTTTAGATAGTGTTCATAAGTCCCAGTTATTTATTCGCTAGTCACTCATTGAAGTGAAGCTTGCGAATCTCCTCTGAAATGATCAGGTGCTGCCACCACTGGATGCAAATTATAATAAAGCAAACAAATTTACATCTCCGGTAGACTGATTATGTTGAGCCTAAATTTCTGGTCTCAGTTGAACTTGACTTCGTTCATACAAAGGAACTGAGAGTTTTGTGAGTGCCTCGATATGTTTGTGAGGAATAAATTGTGTTCACAGCATCATCAGTAAATAATACTGCATAATGCTGTGATTTCATCGAATTTGCTCTATGATGGAAGTATACTCTACCACAGTACACATGTCCTATTCTTATATAAGCTAGTCCCACAATGCACATAGAGGTGGGTAAAACGTGGGGTGAATGTGCAATTTTCATATGACAAGACATGGGTAAAGTGCAGCATTGTACCCCATTTTCCGCATCTTTTCCTTTTTCCCCATATTTTAACTCACTTTCCTTCCTCCAAAGCTCTCAATGAATTAACCACCCACTTAGTCAGTTTTTCCCAAGCTTTTAATGGAAAAATTCATTAATTTCTTATTCTGTTAAAATTTTTCTGCACACTTTCTCACGCTCCCCAAGTGAGTTCAACAATTGTTACATTTAAATACAACTTCCCACTGGGTGGAATTCTTGTGAAAAGGCATCTCGATTCTCAACCGATTTTTTGCACTTCTATGAAAAAAATTCCCCAAATGGGGAAACTCTTTTACAGATACATGCACTGGATGTGTGCATTCTGTCACCGTGTAAAAGGAGATACTTAACAAATTCAATTTACGGAGATGAACTATGGTAGCTATCCAACACACGACTTTAGACAATTGACTGAAGTTACCAAATCAAACAATACCTTCTTTTTGGATTTACTTAACGAATTCGAGGATGGTAATGCACGCTTAAAATTCCATACCTGTACCACAAATACTGTTTGGAATAAAGCTGTTATTATTATTATGGTCGAGGGTTAGATTGCTGTATGTATAATGGATTAGTTGCAGTTCTGCGAGCAAACCTTTATATAATAGGACGAGTTTTGAGAAAAGAAATTCACGGCAGATTAAAAAATGGATTAAGAAATATAAAGGGACCTCATAACACCATGATCTACGTTCATCTTCCTAATAGTTTATTACACTTTATTTGTGATTATTTACCTATGGTTAGTGGCAAAGTTGATCGCAGTAGCCACTATTGTGTAAATCCACCCAATTTATATTGCAGAATGTCCATAATCGTTACCTTTTCCTTACTTATTCAAGATAGTATCAATGAACAAAACGTTCGGAAAATCAAAACTAAACTCAAAAACGCGCCACATGCAATATCCAATATAGTTTTTACGGGCTAGTATAAACTAATTTGATTTCTTTGTGCTCGCTTCTTGATTGTAAGGTATAGGTTCGTGATCTTCGGTAAACCTCTGCATAGCTCGTCACGCCACTCGACTGTCGTAGCTTTGGTTGACTCCAAAGGGAGGACAGCCTGTAGACGGCCGTAGGTCATTTGATCAGCTGATGGATACTGTCTTTATTTATTGAAAAAACCTCAAAGTTAGGTCATTATTCGTTTTTATACACACTTTTTTACTTATATTCTTTCTAAAAGTTGATGAAATACGGCTCATTTAGCCGGCCGTAGCTTACTGCCAGTTTACAGGTTGTTGAAATACGTACTTTTCCGTTCAAAAGATTTCGAATTACTTGAAGACACATGTTATAACAACTTTTTGTGATTCTTTTTTGCATTTTGATGGATTACACATGGATATGATGAGGTGGGATAGCTCGTTTCGGTAATTATTTCATTTACTTTGTTGTGTACTTCTCCTAATGCTCCTCCACATGTATTTCGTTAAGAAAAATCTGCAGAAATACTTAGAGATTAAATACGCATGGTATTTCCTTATTTTATGGCATAAACTTCATGTTTGCAGGCAGGTGCAATATCGATTTTGCACCCTTGAAAAATGTCGACTGAGGTAATTATTTACAATTCAACGAATTATTTCGTCATTTTAAATATATAATGGTTAATTATTGTGTTTACACTGGTAACAATGTCTACACCTGTATAATTCTTATGTTCTTTTTCAGATAATATCTACTTTCGGAAATTTCATGGATTTG